TGTACCGTTCAGCACACCCAAGCACTACATAAGCATATTCTTGCGGGTTATAACAACAACGTTAGGTTTATTTAAAATCGTTGGGTAGATCAACGAAATTCTCCCGGTCGTAAAAACATTCATAGATTACAATGGATGATTGTCCTATCTAATAATTACAATATATCGAATTAAATTAGTCTCATCTATATGCTTTTTTACATTTGTACATTATTCTTTGTTTAGTTTATTTATAATAAATTATTATTTTTAGCTTCATGTATCTGCACTCAGTGCTAAAAAACCCGTATATTTGGAAAATGATATTGCTGCTCGTCAAGAATATGTCGAAATTATCGATAGTGATGAAGATATTTCTGATGATGAATCCAAACAGGATGGAAGTATGTAGACACAAATTATTGTCTTAAATATAATTTTTTTAACTTATGAAATTATAGATGACGAATGTATGCCTCAAAACGTAATTGACACAGTTGAAAATGAACTTTGCAATATAATTAAAAAAACTCTAAATGGGTTTGAAATACAAAATCAACTCACTTGGACCAGAAGTATTTTGGAAGCGCGATTTAAGCGTATTGCAGATGAATCCAAACTTATTGGCGCAGAATTACGCGAATTACAAGATAAAACTAATAATATGTATCGTTCACTTTACAGTACACCGAAAGTGAAGTTGCGTGAAATGCCACCAATACACTTAAATACGGAGGGAGAATATGTAAACGCTGAAATGGAGGTAAGAATCTCAATAATTTGGTTTTTATGTCATTTAATTTTTTGATTAATTTCATTTTTTAATTAGATTCCTGTTGGAGAATTGGTACGACATCCCGTACAAATCAATGGTACTTACTATGCTGTGAAGAATAAAGCAATTGCAAGTTGGGTACCATGTAAAATAATTGAACAAGTTGATGGCAATGTTGGTTCACAGAAAAACCTAAAACATTTTAAAATAAAATTCTTAAAGTCACAATATCAAATGCTTAAGACCGTGTCCGCAAAACATTTAGCATATTTCGATCCTCCAAAAGTGCGTTTAGATATTGGTAAGCACTGCTATACGTTAGTAGTAATGCCTTCAACAAACTTATTTATATTTTTCTATTAGGTGAACGCGTTATAGCTTATTTTAACGCCTCATCTTTGTCACGTGGGAAAGATAAGATGTCCATACAAAGTGCTTTTTATCCTGGTATAATAGCTGAACCACTAAAACCAAGCAATAAATATCGGTAAGCATAAAAATATCGGTTAGATATGTTAAAATATATTAATATGTTAATAATATTAATATTAATAATATTAATATGTTATAGTATGTTTCATCTAATAATTATATTTTTTGTTCTCATTTAGATATCTAATTTTCTATGATGATGGTTATACCCAATACGTACAACATAAAGATGTGCGTTTGGTTTGTCACACATCGGAAAATGTTTGGGAGGATGTACATCCAGCTTCTCGTGAATTTATACAGAAATATTTAACCCAGTACTCTATAAATCGTCCAATGGTACAAACCCACAAAGGACAGAATATGAACACAGAATCGAATGGCAAATGGATATATGCACGTGTTATGGATATTGATTGCAGTTTGGTTTTAATGCAGTTTGAAGGCGCTAAAAGTCACACAGAATGGATATATCGAGGTTCCTTACGTTTAGGTCCAGTTTTTAAGGAATATCAAAAATCGTTAGAACAAACAACATCTCCCAAATCTCGCTTACCAAGAGTAAATATAATATAATTAATAAAATCTATTACTGTGTATATAATTTATAATATATTTAAAAAATTTCAGCGCACAGAACCATTTATACGTTATACAGAAGATGAGGAAGCTACGACAAGAATCTCGGAGACCCGTGCTGTAGCTAAGAAGAGTGTAAGTCGTCAAGATTCATACACACAACAAAGTACATCACAAGCACAAAACAACAAAGTACCACAAGTACGCCACTTAAACAATTCAACAATTTATCTTGAAGATGAGAGTAAACCGAAAGGAAAGGTGAGCCTTTGTAAATTATGGATTATAATAAAAATTTTAATAATAATTTTTAATTGTTTGTAAAAGGTTGTATATTACACAGCAAAGCGAAACTTGCCGCCTAAAAAGTTCGTAAAGCACAATTGTTCTCCTTCTTGCTTGTACAGGGTACAGCACAATCTCAGCGCATATAGTCCATTATCAAAACCACTACTCTCCGGTTGGGAGCGTTTGATATTTAGACAAAAATCTAAGAAACTTATTGTGTATCGCGCGCCATGTGGGCGATCTCTACGAAATATGGCCGATTTACATAAATATTTGCGTATCACACGGAACGTTTTGAACGTGGATAATTTTGATTTTAGTGCAGAAACGAATTGCTTAGCTGAATATGTTATTGATAGTGCGATTGTGCAGAAACGTGACATATCTAATGGTTTGGAGAAAATGGCTATTCCTTTGGTTAACTACTATGACGGTACACTGCCGCCGGAATGCGAATACGCTGCCGAACGCATACCAACTGAAGGTGTTAATTTAAATCTTGATGAGGAATTTTTAGTTGGTTGCGATTGTGAAGATGATTGTTCGGTAGGTTATCAGCAGTATGTTTGTATAGATGTAATATTAATATAACTGATTTCCATTATTTAAGGATAAGAGCAAGTGCTCTTGCTGGCAGCTTACTATATCTGGAGCAACATATAAAAACTTAAATGCTAGTATAGATGAAATTGGGTATCAGTACAAACGGCTGTACGAACACGTCCCAACTGGCATTTATGAATGCAATTCTAGGTGTGTAAAGTTATATATAATAATAAATAATTAAATGCCTATAAACAATTTACTAAACATATTGAAATTTTTGTTTTTAGATGCAAGTGCAAGAGTAATTGCCTTAATCGTGTCGTACAACATTCTTTGCAAATGAAGCTACAAGTGTTTAAAACCTCAAATCGTGGTTGGGGTTTGCGTTGTTTAAATGATATACCGCGTGGTAGTTTTATTTGTATCTATGCTGGACATTTGTTGACCGAGTCTAAAGCTAATGAAGTAAGTTACACTAAATCGATAAGAGTATATTAAAATTTTTTATTAATAATTAATTTTCCTTATTATAGGGTGGACTTGATGCCGGTGATGAATATTTTGCTGAATTGGATTATATAGAAGTAGCTGAACAACTCAAAGAAGGTTATGAATCAGATGTTGAACCACTTGAACCTGAAGATGAAGAGGAAGATGATGTATTTTCACATAATATCTGTTGATATGCTTTTATTTAATTGTTTAAATATTTTATTAGGATGCTTACATGCCGGAAGATGATGATGAATTTACTCCAAGTAAAGCATATCTCTATCGTTCAAAAGGCAAACCTAAAAGATCGACACGTTTCAGTCAGTCTGGAACCAATGAAAATGAATCTCAAGAACGACAGGTTATTAATTTTGATCCTAATGCTGATATGGAGGAAACTACTACTAGGCATTTGTAAGTGAACTCATTACTATTTGTAAAACTTTACTCCATTCATTTATTCATTTCAGATCAATGCGTAAATTGTTTGGTAGGAACGAGGCTTGCTATATTATGGATGCTAAAACTATTGGCAATCTTGGACGTTATTTTAATGTAAATTTATTTTATTACTTTAATTAAATTTAATTTAACATATTTTTTTATAAACTTTTACACAGCACTCTTGTTCACCAAATCTATATGTTCAGAACGTTTTTGTTGACACACATGATTTACGTTTTCCATGGGTGGCATTTTTCGCTTCAACTCATATACGCTCTGGTACTGAGTTAACTTGGAATTATAACTATGAAGTAGGTGTAGTCCCGGGAAAAGTGTTATACTGCCAGTGTGGCGCACCAAATTGCCGTCAGCGCCTACTATAAATGAAATAACAACTAGTGTTAATTATATTCTAAATTGTAATATAAATATGTAGCATAAAATTTATTTAAAATACATAATACAGATTTGAATTTAAATTTTAAGTAGTTTATAGTTACTGAAATAATGTGACAAGCGAAATTTGTAGCATAGTATTTTTAATTACATTTTTAACATTTGCAAATTATTATTTGTTTAATTATTATGTTATTTATTAAATTGCTTGAATAAACATGTAAAATAATTAAAATAAATCAAAAGTTTTATATATGTATATTATTTTATTTATTTTATTTTATTTTATTATTATATATTATTTTATTAATTATATTTTATTTTATTTATTATATTTTTTTTTTTATAATTATTATTTTATTTATTATATTTTATTGTATTTATTATATTTTATTTTATCTATTATATTTTATTTCATTTATTATTTATTATATATTAATTTATTTATTATGTTTATTTATTTATATATATTTATTTTATTTCATTTATAATATCTTATTTTATTTTATTATATTTATTTATTAGTTATATTTTATTTAATATATCTTATTTTTATTAATATTTTTATTTTATCTATTATTTTTATTTTATTTATTATATTTATTTTATTAATTATATCTTATTTAATTATTATATCTTATTTATTATTATATTTTTATTTTATTATATTTTATTGGTATTTATTATATTTATTTTATCTATTATATTTTATTTCATTTATACTTTATTTTTTTTTTTTATATTTTGTTATAATTTATTATTTTTTTTATTATATTTGATTTATTTTATTTTGTTTGTTATATTTTATTTTATTTATTATATTTTATTAGGTTTATTTTATTTAAATCCTGCGATGAGATCACGCACACCGCACTAGCCGAGGACCGTCAAGCAAGACGACGCAAGGGCAGACCTAAAATGAGTTGTAGAAAAAAAGTATATCACGAAACTGGCAAATCGTTTTACGAATTAAGACAAATAGCACAAAATAAAAACTGTTGAAAATTTTTTGTTGAGTCCTTAAGCATAGAATAAGATGCATAGAATAATAATAATAATAATAATAATAATTTCATTTATTATATTTTCCTGTCCAGTCGGTACATTGTAAAATCTTTGAATCAAAATAGTTTTAAGAATACCACAAAATATCCATAATCCTATCACGCTCGATTTAAAATTGAAAGGATTTGAACATTTTTAAATTCCTTAACTTAATACGCATATAAAAATTTTTAGATATTAATTTAATAATGATTCGTAGCTTTTCCTTAGATTGTATCGGTCAAGTCGAATTAAACATTTGAATGCAAGAACTCAAAACCATGAAATAATATCTAAGTTTATTATAGATTGAAGGCAGAATTAGTTGTCGTAGACGTAGCAAACGATAAAAAAAATAAGTTAGAATGGGTCAGCTGATTTCTTACAGCACAACTAATTCATTCCAAAAATATGTATATCCATATGCGTGCGGAAGAGCATTTAGCGTGTAAGCGACTTAGCAGGTGACACATACACACACTCCATTTCCTTCCCACAGCCTCGCATTCCGTTTAATAAACGCGACCGGTATGATCCCTAGTGTTAAGTTTACTATTAACTCAAATTTCCCTTTCATCTACAAACAGTTCTTTTAAAAATCACTTCGACCATGCTTTCCTGACTTCGATAAATTTAGCTTGCTGAATATTAAGCCTATCTGCTCTTCTTTCCGTCCTTTATTACTGGAATAGGGTTTCAGCAGCTGACAGCAGGTAAAATCGTCAATATTTTCATTTATAATAGCTGGAATTAGTGGGTTCAAGTCTTACACTGTGGCTTTCCATGAAAAAAAAACACAGCTGTTGAGAGAAAAATGTAAATAGTAATTTGTAATATAATTAACAGCTAAACGCCTAAAGCATGGTATAGACGATGCTACATGTATGCACACCAAGTATGTAGACCAGGTATGTGCAACATTTACGAATCTTAATGAAAATTTTTTATTTTTTATTTAAAAAGTGATGTTGAAAATTAAAAAACAGAAATATTCAATTAAACAAGCAAGCCAATAAAAAAAAAAAAAAAAAAATTAGTTTTTTTCGTAACTCCTTTCAAGTGTTTTAATTCTTACTATTCCTGGTAACAACTGTGCCTACCCTGAACTAAGAATTATTTAAATTCAAATTTTGCATTAAGAATCAAAGTATGGACGAAAAAGTCGAGGCCGATTTTGCAAGGGTAATGCAATGCCTAACTGAGACACAGAAATTGGCGAGTAGTCTAGGAACGGAAGGTTGTACAAATTTTTAAAATATTATAAAATTTAGCTATAAAAAAGTTTTACAGAGCAAAAGGATCCAAGACAATATCTTGAGATGTGCGAGGAACTTTGCAACATTCGCCAAAGTTATAAAGCAAAAAAGAAAATTTATGAAGCAGCTGGGAAAGAAGAAACACTTGAAGGCTATGACCAAGCACTCGAAAGAGGCTTAAACTCTTTACCCAAAAAATTTAATGCAAAAAACACTATAGAATACAAAGCATTTTCTGCTAGTATGACTCTTGATGAAGAAGAAGTTGATAAACGTGGTGAAATGGTTGTTAAGATGGGACTAAACAAGTTTGACCCTTTAAGCAAAAAGAAAATGGTCGATCCAGTAAAGTCTACCGTTTGCGGGCACCATTATGAAAAAGAAACGATTATTGCTTATATTAAACAATTAAAGAAAGACAAAAGAAGGTAAGTGATGTCTAACAATAATTCAATGCCAACAATAGTACATAAATAGTAAATAATTGTATTCTTTTTAAGTTGCGTATGCCCAGTTTCTGGTTGCATGAATAATAAAATGCAATTAAAGGAATTACAAGATGATCCAGTTTTTAAAGAGCAAATAGAAAGTGACGAGGAGGAAGATTGAGTATGACTACATATTTTAGAGCAGCGTGTTACTTTATACGTAACGTTTAATTCATTCCAATTTCTTATATATAAGCCCTCATCAAGATTATGAAAATATGTTTTTATAATAAATAAAGATGTATGATAATTTGCTTGAATTATGTGTATAGAGATACGTTCGACGGACTATATGGTAGTCCATACATAAATATTTTTCTTGCTTTGATGTGCCTTGGTTCTACGATTTGTAAGAAATGTTTTAATATTGAAGTTTAACTGTATTTAAAATGTTAAGATATTTACAATAATCTATTTCACATATCATTGCACATAATGATGCTTTTTTTCATATTCATTTTCTTTTTTTTTTTATTTATTTCAACTTGGCATTCATGCTATTTCTGTGAGACTGATTCGAAAAAACAGTATTTCATTTCATTTATAAATTAAGTTTTATTGATATAAGTAATATAAATTCAAATTTATTAAATAAACTATTTTAAAAACTACACATTATGGTTTTAGATATCGAGGGATCGTAACAGTTATCATGTGAAAATAAAACTAAAAAATAATAATTAAATTTGCTTTATATTATATTTATTAAAATTAATTATTATCTTGTGCCTTTTTTGGCATTCATATGAAAATCAAGAATAACTCTTATTTTTAAAACAAAATATAATCCACACTGGCTTGATATTTTTAAAAGCGAAAATACGAACTGCATTTCGCATATAAGGTAGTTGTTTTTGTAATTTCATACAATATGTATTTAAGATTTGGTGCACGTGGAGTTACCTTTTGGTTTTTGTATTGTTTTGTGTACAAAACTCTAAACTAAATCGTTACCCGTACCAATTCTATAATACATTTGTTAAGAAATAACAAAAACAACTACCTTATATGAGTAATTAAAATTATATTTTCGTTTTTAAAAATTTCAGGGAGGCCAGGATGAGCAATATTTTATTTCCTAAAATAACTGTTATTTATTTTTTATATCTTCAACTTAAAATAAATCATTACATATAAAAATAAATCTTTTATCAATCAGCTTGAGAAATGTTTTGTGCTGCACTGATCAGTGTATCGTGTATAGCCTTTGCTGATTCCACATGAGCACGCACAGTATTTAAGTATGTAGAATATGACATAGGAACAGCGGGATTATCTGGCATATACGGAGCAGCAGCTACATTTCCTGGCAGATAATTTTGCGCAGATGAAAGTTGCTGCATGCATAGCAATGCAGTTTTCAGGTTCAATTCAATTTGATCACAATATACAAAGAAATCTTCTAAATGTTTATCGAATCTCGGTGGATGTGGAGCAGCGTCTCGTTTTAGATTATCTGACAAATTGTTTTGCTGTAAGGCAAATGCTGCAGCGCGTAAAGTTAAAAATAACGATTCACGTAGCGGACCAAGTAAACTTTTAACTTTCGAGATGTTGTCAGTTTTTTCTGCCTGTTGTTGTTGTTGCTGCTGTGCCTGTTGAACTGGGTTTGGCACTTGTGGCGACTGTTGTTGCATAGCTGGCGAAACCACTTGCATCATTGCATTTGGGCCAGGTCCTACACCCATTTGTTGTTGTTGCATTGTATGCATATTCATGATTGCTATAATTTATAATAAACTAATTTTATATCAATTAAATTTCTCTCACTGTTAATTTATTGTATTTCGACAAAAATTGTACTACTTTTTGCACAAATTCCAAATGTCATTTTTGACGTTTGCTGAGCAATTGAGAAACAGCGAGAATGAAACAAGAAAATATATTTTTGAAACTTTTGTACAGTGGTATAAATAAATAATTTGTGAAGTAAAATTTGTGAATGAAAACTTATTTAATTTCCGTGTGCGAGTTTGAGTAAATTGATGGTAAATGAAGGGAAATAGTAACATATGTCGATATGGCAGCGAATGTTGATAGAGTAAATTAAATAAAAATTAAGTAAATTAGGTATTACCATGGTTAAAAAAAAATAAAAAAATTTGTGTAGTCCAAAAAATTCCCAGTAAATTTGAATTTACTTTGAATTTACCTAAAAAGTAAAAATTTGTTAGTAAATAAGTTAAAAATATTGAACTGTTTTTTTATACTTTCTTTAAGTACTCCTAAAACTTTTGGTATATATTTATACATATATATACATTTAAAATATTTTTTCCACAATTTTGCATATTTTTAAAATATTTCATTTCCAAAATTTTTAAATTTGTGAAAGTTTTTAATTTTGCTCGAATTTTTGTTCACAAATTTTTGACATATGACTGGAATATTCGTTGAAATTTACAATAAGTTCACAATAGTTCGCTTATTGCATTGGTAATATTTTTTGTCACATTTAAAAACTGCTGAAAGCACCTAAATATTTTATATCTAATAGTGATTTACGCTTCACAATTAACGGACTTTATTTAAAGTATGTTTACTCTCATCTTGATGACGATATACTATGTTTTGCGTTACAATAATAATGCCATACACATTATTATGCCTTGGGACAAAATAAATTTCATTATATCAAATGGTTTTTGTATCTTCACTGCCTTGGAAATTGTCCGCTTGTGCTTCGTTATATAAAAGCCCCTTTTCAATACTTGATTAAATTGATGTCTACACTTGCTAGATTTTGACAATATTCTTATATTTGAATACATAAATATGAGTTTTTTTCCAAAAGCCACAGTGTGAGACTGGAACCCAATAAAACCACTTATTACGAAATCTAAAATCCCATTCTAGTAATTAAGGGGAAGAGAGATATTAGAATATAGAATGTTTAACACAAGCCGTAAATTTTTCTATCAAAGTTGTGAAAAACCAGTTTAATGCTACTTCTGACATATGTTTTGTTGTGTTGTGAACACTAAAAATGAAAAAAAAACCCAAATGAATATTAGAAGGGCAATAGTCAGCATTTTTATCTTATATGTTAAAACAATTTTATTTATTTAGGTATTTGAACGTATAAGTAAATGAAATACTCATACGATTTTAAAGAATGACTGGAAATTTGCAACATATTTCCAGTGAACATTCACAATAGACTGATTTTTAAGTTTGGCTGCATTAAAATTTAAGGCTGCGGTTACATTGCATGCGAATTTTGTCTTACGTATTCGTACGAACAAATCGAATGTATGTAATCATATATGAGTGGCACAGTTGCTGAGAACTATTCTAGCGACGTCTTGTCTTTTTCATGCGAATACTTGATTAAACAAAATATTTTGTTTGAAATTCATACGTTCGTGCAAAATCGAAGCTGTAAATAATGATATTGAAAGGTGTGTGTTGTTTACACGTAATTTTAAGATTATAAATAGAAATTAATTTGAAAACATGAACTAGTTTTAGGAAATGAATTGCGATTCGCTAATTTTTTTGCTTGAGGAGTAGACAAACTATCCATTTATATACCTCCGCTATATATATTTCATCTTCACTATACATTTTGTTTTCTAAACAAACAAAATAGAACTGTCAATTCGCAGGCAATGTAACCAAAACATGTGATGTGTTGGCATGGAAAAACATATGTACGAACACGCAAGATAAAATTCGCATGCAATGTAACCGCAGCCTAAGACGTACAAATTTTTGTAAGTAAAACCTAACTCTAAAGATTTTTGGAGCATTGCTGTTGCTTCGAATGTTTTCTTTCGTAAGATGCGAGTATTTTTTGTTACACTGAAAGAAAAAATTATGGCAATATATATATTTTTAATACCTTTCACTCATTTGTAACGAGGATGGAGTATTGTATTCTTTAAACATTTTCAAAACATTATGAAATTCAAAACATCAGGACATTGTACTGCGAATAGCAAAATCAGTTGTTAACTTTTTACGCCGACCCACTAAGTTGTCATTTGTTTCGTGACTGCTTGCAATAGGAAAGGTGAATTTGTGTAAATAGAATTGCACGAAATTGCAAATTTCATATTTTCTAAAAGTGTTTATTTATTATAGACATCTTAAAGGTAACTGGGTTGTGTTCATTTGTTATTCAAGATATGTTCAATATTAAAAATTATGAGTACGATTGCACTATAAAATGCAATTGCCGTCAACACGCAAATGCAATAACTGCCGCATTGACCAAGCGTTCAATTAGCAATGAAAAATTAGCTGCATTTATAGCTAAAACTTGCCGAAATTTTGCCGACAATGTTGATGATCTCGTATGTATTCCTATAATGAAATTTATTGCCTCATTGAAACGTTTACACTTTAGGGACGGTCGGCGGTACATATAGCAGCGTCCGTTGATCGGTATGAAGTATTGGAGTGGCTACTAAACCAGGTATGTTTTTAAATCAAATTGAAAAATCATAATTATATTGTGTATTATAATAACAACAATTGTAGGGTGCAATTATAAATGGACGAGACTTTGAGTCAGGTAATAGTGCCTTACATCGTGCCATTTATTACGGTTGCGTCGATTGTGCAGTGCTATTAATACGTTATGGAGCTAGTTTAGAGTTATTAGATGAAGACACCTGCACACCTCTACATAATGTTTGCCGCTTAGCTGATTATTCAAGGCAACATGACTTGTTAGTAGCATGTTTATAAAAATATTTTTTAATATATAAAATATTACAATTTAAATTAAATATATATTATTTATTATTAGCTCGCCACGAAATGAAGTGCTGGTTTGGGGCTCAAACAGAAACTATAATTTAGGAACGGGTAACGAAGAAGGCTGTACTACACCACAGACAATAGAATTTTTTCGAAAACAACAGACATCACTTAAATTAATTGCCTTAAGTGCTTATCACACACTTTTTTTGGATCATCAGCATCATTTGTATGCAGTTGGACACGGAAAAGGTGGCAGGTTAGGGACGAAAACTGAAAATAGTTTACCTACGCCGAAAAAACTTAAATTGCCATTTGAAAATAATGCACATATAATATGTATGAGTGTTTCGCGTCAACATTCTTTATTGCTTACAAATAAATCTACAGTTTTTGCTACTGGAATAAATGATAATAAGCAATTGGGTGTAAGCACAGCTGGTGATAAATTGATGGTTTTCAAAGAAGTTGCTACCTTAAGAGACTTGATTTGTATGCCATTGCAAGCTGTTATTGCAAAGGATGAACATTCTATTGCGTATTCAGAGAAACAAGTTTTTATTTGGGGAGCAAATTGTGGTCAATTTGGCATGGATGCGAAAGTAAAAGTTGTTACAAGTCCGAAATTGGTAATATAAAACTATTTTTGTTTTATATAATTCGTACATATATTTTTCTTCAATCCATTTTGCAGATGAAGATTCCAGTGGATATTAAAATAATTTATGTTGTTGGTAACAACTGTGCAACTGTGATATTAACTGATTTTAATGCAATTTTATTGTATTACAATTACAAAATGAAATCAATCAAAACGCCTAAGTATGATATATATTTTTATATATTTATTTTAAAACGTCTTATACATTTACAAATTTTTTGTATGCTTAAAATTTTGAAATTATTATCTGTGTACGATAAGCGACATTGCAGTCCCTATGCAGTTCTTCTATTGATCGCGTGATTATACTATTACTTATTGCAATACATAATTTACTTGAACGTTTTATGTCAAAGAACTTACTTTCAATCACATTAGAATTAATCATAAATAGTCTAAGCTACGAAATAACTAATATATATTATCAATTTGTATGCTCATAAGGGTTTTGTCCCTATGCATTATTATACATCCTTTCATTTTATGTTTAAATTAGTTCTTATTCTTATTCAAAAATTACTCAATTTTATTATATTAAATATATATATATATATATATATATATATATATATATATATATATTATATATATATATATAAATCGGTTTGTTTTCAGTTCTCGTTTGATATATATATATTTTAAATCGTGTCGAAGAAATCCAATTTCAAATCTCTTAATAATAAAATTTTATTTTGCAGCTACGAGCCTATAAAAAGCATTTGCGTTATTGGAGGAGATATTACTAAAACCAGTAAAGGATCTGCAAGTGGTCTTAAACTTTTAATATTAACCGAAACAAATGTTGTGTTCATTTGGTATGAAATTACACAAAATTTTTACAGGTATGTAAAACGCAGAATATACATATTATTGCACTGTGTCTACATTTTTTATTGATTCCTGCCGTGTTCATGTACTGTTTTAAATTGATTTACAGAGTACAGAGCGATGACCTACATACTTTAAACATACAAGACAGTTAAAGTCTGTGAGATAATGTTAGGCTTATATCACAGTCGACTATAAATCTACGTGTAGATAATCTGGCACATATTTACTGTTGTACGAGGAAGAGTCACCACAAAAACTTTTCACTACACTAGCCAGATTTATCTATATCTATATGTTAGCATAGTTGAAGTTCTAAAGATAATATCTGTTTTCATACCATAGTAAACTTTAAGCTGACATGGAGCTGGTTTGAGTTGTTATGTGTAGGCTTATATCGATTTCCATACCATAGTAGATTATAAAATTATATTAAGCTCATCTGGAGCATAATTACTGTTGTACGAAGAAGAGGCACCAGAAAACCTATTTTTCTATTGCTAAGGTTTGTCTAGATCTACATTCAAGTATATATACGCACTATTTATGAAATCAGTCCACAGCATGTCCACTATATAATGTATGGGATACTTGCTTTCATCAATGCTTCCGCTTGCTAAGAATTTCAGGAATTTAAAAACGATAATGATTACTACTAAATGAGGTTCGAATTCCTTCCACTTTCTTTTTCTACCTTTCTTATTTTTCTAACACTTGCACTTATTTATAGTCCTTTTTGTGTTTGAATACATACTATTTTCTATGGAAAATAAAATCACTTTACTATTATTGGTGTTATACTTTTTACTGGAAACGCAATTAGTGCTTAACAATTTTCTTTTTGTTGCGATCATCTACGGAAGCGATGAGTGTAAACAAAAGTGGATTTGGGTTGCATACAAATGGTGGCAATGGATGGTATCAGTAAATATTATCACTGATATTATTAGTATTTTTTATTATTATTAGTATACTAATATTATTAGTATTTTATCAGTGAATAGAATCCCCTCGATACTGTTAAATTTATCGATAGAAGTGACCCATTATTTCCACTAATACTATATCATACTGTACTCAATAGTATGGTCTTATTGCCAGTTTTCACTTTATTTAATGATTAGTTTAAAAATATATAACTTTTTTTTGTTAGGTAAAACTATAATCATATCAGTTTTGTGACTTTTGATAAAACTTGGACATGGGGTTTCTGCAGGACGTTTGAATTCAATTTTATAGCATTAAGGAAATCCTATCTTAAGATATTATTATTTGAATCTCCACAATTTATTTTTTAAATTCTTAATAAATAATTTAATATTCAGTCATTTCGGAGTTCTTTGATTAATTCTTCAACCAGTCCTTTGTTACTTCCTCGCGTTGCCACTGAAAATTAATTTAATAATAATTTGTTTATTTGTCAAAAATGCAATTACCTTCTACATTTTTGTAATATTTGCAGATGCCTTTTCACACCATTAAAAATTACAGAAATCGATAAGATATTCTACAAGGGAAATCAAATATTATTACTATCTAAAGGTGATATCTACAAAGGAAAATGTAATCAGATACCAATACCACAAAATAAACTCAATGGAAAATATACGTACTCCTCGAATGAATGGAGCCCATGTTATCGTACAGAAGTGTCAACAGATCATATGATTCGTATTGATGTGGAGCGTATACCACACATCGATCGTGCGACAGATATTTTTTGTGATGATGACTTCACTTCATTTGCCGTCCTCCAAGAGTCTCATCTTAAATATTTTAAATCACCTGCTTTGCTAGCAGAAAAATACACTTTTAAAAAATTATTCCACGATGCCAATGAATTTGATGCTGTACATGATGTAGTGCTACATGTCGATGATGAAATATATGCAGCACATAAGTTGATACTCTATGCACGCTCTCCTGGTTTACGCGAATGCATTACTGCGCATACTGAAAAACATGTTTATCTGAAATTTGATGGTTTTACCGGTAAAATGCTGGAAATAATTTTAAAACATATTTATACAAACTATTATCCAAATAGTGAAGGTGTGTTTGTCAGTCACATATATAAAAAATATAAATAGATAAATTGTTATATTAATTGCAGATTTTGACAATATACAGAAAAGCTTGGGTCCCGATAGTCCCAATGAAAGCAGATTAGTTTGTAAATTATTTATGTTGTATGCTGAGAAATTTCAATTGAACGATTTGTGCAATTATTTAAAAAGGTATTATTCAAAACTATATGATATTTTATATACTTTGTAATTAACTTGCATTATTTTATCGAAACTAGTTTGGAGGAAGCGCCATCAAATACTTTTGATTTAGTTCCCAAAGGGCGCTTTAAACGCTTGCAACGTTCTGATTTCCCAGAACTTTACGATGTACGTATCATTTGCGGTGATAATGCAGAATTATCCGCACACAAATGCATTTTGGTAGCACGTTTGGAATATTTCGAAATGATGTTCGCACATACGTGGTCCGAACAAAAGGTGATACATTTAGAGACTGTACCTGTGGCCTACATGGAACCAATATTGGATTTTCTGTATAATTGTGATGTGGAACTATTTCGCAAGCAAAATTATAATGAAAGTTTTCTTTATAATATGATTGTATTCTGTGATCAATTTTTTGTGGAACGACTACGTAAAATCTGTGAAATTATGATTCTAGATAAAATAACAATACGTAAATGTGGCGAAATGTTAGATTTTGCACACACCTATAACTGTGAAGCACTTAAGCTTGGTTGTTTGAATTTTATATGTCAGAACCTAGCGCGTGTTTTAGTACAAAAAAGTCTGGATAGTTGCGATTCTGGCGCATTAAATTGTATTAATTCTCATTACCGTTCAATATTCAAAAGAGCTTTTGATTATCGCATCATTACTCCATGCTCTGAAGCTGTAGATGATGATTTGCTATATAGTTTTGTAGATGATTTTCGAGTGGATCTTGACTATCGAATGGATGAAGAACAGGTTCGTATAATAAATGATTTACATTATATCTATTTTAAATACTTATATATATTTCTATTAAAGGATGCATTGAATAAAAGTGCAACAAAACAAAAATTAAGTGAAAATAAATATAAGCAATCAACAAGGCAGCATGAACGTGATGCTATTGCTTCAATGATGAAATCTTTGAATGTAGATGATAAAACAAAACAATCACAGGAAGAAAATAGTAGATATGTGGAGGAAATTCAGAAAACTGATGAAAAGATACATGAGGAATATAAATCTTGGATGAAAGTTGCAGATAAAAAGGAGCAGAAGAAAAAGGTGTCTGTGCCTACTAAATCAGACGATATAGCTTTTGTCAGTGAGAAAGAAAAGTTTTCTCTAACACCACTTATTAAAACGATTCCTAATCCAACTCCTCCTAAAAGAAATACAGTAACACCAGAGAAGATAACCGTGCCACAAGAAAACAGCACTCCCAGTAAAACCTTTAATTTAAGTTTAGCTGATTTTACACCGACACGTGATAAATTATCACAAAAGCAGAGAAAACGCTTGTCATCTGAATCATCAAATTGGCGCAACAACTCAATATCAGAACAACCATTGCCAGCAGTAACAACGCCAAGTCCACCACAGCAAAATGCTTGGAATCTTAATGTACAATCACCTACTTCGTCTTCAGCTACATATGATGCCGCTGTTGAAATTGGTTGCGCTAATGATCCTAATTCATTTGCAAATAGAATGCGATTGGGTAACTCAAAGCAAAGCGACACTGCTTCCAGTTCCGCTGCTAGTGTCAATAGTTTTGCTCGAATATTAGCTGAGGAACGCAAGCAGCGGGAATATTATGAACGAATGCGTTCCAAGTCTTTAATACTGACTCAAATAGAGGAGACTGCAATAACGGAATTAAGAGCATTTTACAATGTCGACAATGTGACCGATGAAGTGATAACAATTGAACGGAAACCAATGCCAAGTACCATTAATTTTGCCCAATGGCAAAATAAAAAATGAAATGTGAATACCATAGAGTATGGTATTATTTAATAATTAAACAATTTAATTGTTTATTAATTTTTTTTTTGATATATTATATTTTATCAAGACGAAGTAATAGTGCGCTGTGCTATGTTTGATTTTATTGGAAATGTTTTTATTTTTATATTCGTTTTAATTTTTGAATATTTAATTTTATTTATAAAAAAGTATAAATATTTTTTTTATACAGTTTGAAAAGTACATAACAAATTAAATAATTAAAAATATCGGTAATAATATCAATAAATACAACAACAATATTAAAAATAATTAAATTCAACAAATTTAAATTAAAACATAAACTACACTAAACATATCCCGAAACCTTTTAAAACTACGCCAAGCATCTAGTCTCAATAGATAAAAAGAAGAAAATAGTTGCTTTAAATTCAAATAAATTTCTTTCGGAATTTAAAAACATTCTTTTCGGAATGCAAATCCATATTCATCGCATTTGAAACGTAAAGTTTTCGCCAGTTGAGGTGGTCCACAATAGAAAACAGTGACTTTGCCCTTCTTTTGCGCTTGCAGCTGCTTGAAGACTTTATCCCAATTAGGGCGACCAGCATTTGTTCGTGTTTTGAGTCCTGTTATAAGATCGCGTTTTCCCTGTAAGTACATTTTATAGATTTTTTTATTAGATATTAATAGTAAAATAGTAGTATAGATAGATAAAAAGATAGTAGATACATAGATAATAGACAAATATTGAATATTATAGTGACGTCTTTATTTTTTTTGTAAGTAGTTGGTATATGGGTGTAACAAGTAGATCCTGTGATGAAGTTCATTCAATTTTTCTGTGATATTTTCTGTGATATTTTCTTATATTTTTTGTATTTTATATTTGCAATTTTTAAAAAAGGTAGTATTTACTTTCAACAATAACAGTAAGGATTTATTATTATTAATAAATGTGCTTTATTATTTTAAAGACCAACATTTTTATTAATAATTTTGTTTTTGAAACCGACTAATTGATGAATCTTACAGTTTACCCTATCTTTAGTTTGTATCTTTAATTCACCCTGAAAATGACTATAGATTATAGTCGAAAATTGGTGTAAATAAAAAACATTTTAAAATCTAATTTTTTTAAAAAAATGCATTATTTAAGAATTGATCAATTAGCCCATTTCAAAAACAAAATTATTATCAATAAATCTACAAACAAGGGTGTTGAAGCTTTCAAAAAACAATTTACAATAATTAAGTATAGCTGTAGTTTATGCGTTCCAGCTGATTAAGAACGCAGCGAATACAACGGCTGTTTATAAATAAACAACAAAAATTCGTAAAACTTTAAGTTTGATTAATGTAAATTAAGTGTACGTTGGCTTTATGTGTTAACCGATGGGTCCACGGTTGAAATTTAACAGGACTTAATTCTTGACAATTTAATTTGAAAAATTATAAATCGAAAATAAAACCAATAGATTTTTCAAAATGCCATTGATAATGAATATTTAAGGATATTCAAAATAACTATATGGTCAGCTCAACGATTCACTTGAATTAAAATTTTTAATTTAATCACAATTATTTCGTCATATGACATACAATTCTTAATAATTATAAAATATTATTATAAAAAAAATCATTCAGAAGTTTTTTCTCACGAAATTAGCTGTTATGTTTAAGTTGTAATCTTCTAACCAAAGCCCACTTGACTTCAAACAATGGCCCGTTGTAATGCCTCGTAGGCAACTGAGCAGATATCCAGTAAATTTAAACCGCAATTGGAATTACATATATAAAACAATGAAGGCAGGCATGTATAGCTAGCTTTTCCTTCTGTAAAACGATTAGGATGCTTAGAGAGAAATTGGGAAATTCTAAAATTGTTTTGTGAATGTGTACTGTGGTTTTATGTTCCATACTTTGCTGTGACTCATGGATCTGATAAATATATGAGATCCAAAAGCAATATATTGTAATATTAATAAGTTCGGCAAATGCTAAGAATATCGTGTGTAGGTTCTGCTGTGGTAATTATCAATAGAATTACATATTAAAAGCAATTGATTGATGTTTGTGTCCAGACTACAAGATAACTGCAGATTGCAAGTCGAACTTAAGGGTTATAGTTCTATTGTGTCTACTCACTCAGTTAACCTCTTGGTTCAATGTTCTATAATTAATGCTATTTTAAGTGTATCGCAATTTTATCTGAGTCTTTCAGGTCTTAAAAACCTGTTTCTAGTAGTAACTATTTTCTGGTAATATTTTCCACAAATATATTTTTAAGGGATTTGATTTGTTTTTGGAAGAATATAAACGTTTGTTTATTTAACAGCATATATGTCATATATATTTTAATGATAATTTATATCTTAAATCTCTCAAGAACATCAGTCAGATATCGTGGGTTGCTGTGAAAATTTGTTGAGTTTTGTGTCCAAACCATTCGAGGTAGATTTTATCTTAATTAAATTAATGGACGGTTTTTATAATTAAACTAATCATCCATTTTATTAACTTAAGTAAAAAAAATGTTTCATCACAGCTGAACTAGTAGGATTATTATATATTGCATATATACAATATATATATTTCACAATTACTATATTCACTATATTCATAAGAAGTAACTCTATAAATATTCTATAATTCCAAACGCACCTTTTCGTGAAGTAAATCCAAAGCTAGTTGCAAGCCCACAGCCTTCATATCCGTTCGTTGTAGTGCGCTTGTTATATACATATGCATATCGAGAAATCTATAATAAGAATTTCACATTAAACAAAAATTGTATGTATTATATATAATATATGTAATACCTTTCCATGGCGTGTCCTAGTTCAGCTTGTTCAATTTCTAACTGTGAAAGTAAATTAACAAACCATTCAAATGATCGCTGATTACGATTAATCCAAAAGAAATCTACTTTTCTAAGGTTCATCACAGTTTTGGGTATATCACTGGCCCATTCATGGTTGCAACGTGGGCATGTATGTCTTGCTTTCCAATAACGATGCATTATGGATTGCAAAATTGATGCAAACGGCGTGACACCAATACCTGTAGCGATAAGTACAGCATGTTGTGCACCAAATATATGACTTGATGGTGCTCCATAAGGTCCATCAATGAATATCTTAATAATTTTAGGGACAGACAATTTTAAAGAGAAAAGTTTATTTATTTTTCAAACTTATGTTTATAAAATAAAACAGAAAATATATTAAAGCAAATATAATGAAGTTTAAACCCAAACCTCTAAAACGCCTGCATCTAGTGTAACCTTCCCAGAGTTAGTGGAACCATGTGTGGGTAAGCTGCCATTACAGCCACGATTCTTTATAGATGTTGACAGTGTACGCAAAAAAGTAGGTCTACGCAAACGTCGGGTTTTAGTAGTCGCAGAGTAAGAATCCTATTTTATTTATTAATTTATTTTGTGGGTGTGTTTGTATATTGGACCAAATTTAAACCCATTTTATGATGCCAAATGTGGTAAGGATGCGTGTAGTAAGAGAGATATCGAAATTTAATTATGAAAATTTTATTTACAAGTTTTACTTTGTGGATTTTATTGTTATATGTTGAAGCAGAAAAGCAATGATATACTTTATAAAAGATTTATAGAGTTTTAATTTTGCGCTTACCTCCAGAGGTTTCGCAGCTTGATAATCTGTACTCTTCGCTACTTCTAAATCAGTGGTTTGTTGTGAATGTGAAGTGTTTGCTTGATATAATAAAAAAATTAGTTTTGAAACAAGTAAATAAACTTATGTAAATACCTGCTTGCACTTTTCCTTCCTCAGCAGCCATTATGGAGTATGGAACTGGATCTAAGACATTGAAAAAATATGTTTAACACAGCAATAATTTGATAACTATGATAGTTTTATATATACGCTTATTATTATTGCATATTAGTACTATATTGTATCAAAATACTACTAGATACTATTGAAAGATTTAGTTGAGCTTTTCAATCACCTCTAGAAACCAATTAGTTTCCACTTCAAACCTTAACATTCTTTATAAGTCAATTGTATCCAGTTCAGCCAATTCTTCAAAGTAGAAGTTTTGCAAGGAATTAACCCTTGGAATGCAGAGAAACAGACAGTGATGGAAAAAGTGCTCAATCTTTTTTTTTCATGCCCTCAACCTGATAGCTGCTGCCTGTCAAACGTCCCAGGGGAAGTGCGTTATGACGTCAGCAGATTGACACTGCTCCGTATAAACTTAGGAGCGTGATTGTTCTTTTGGGCATATTTTCGCCCTCTGTTGCCTTACTAAATGGCAGGTTTGTTTACACTTTAAAGTGAGAACTGTAATACCTGTGTTAGATATTATTCTACATAATTTCTTATAAGTTGTTATGGTTCTAATACATTATTAATTATTTATTAGTTTGTTAGATATAAAGGACAAGTCCAAAGTACTTACTGCTTTCAGCCATTTTTGCTTGTGGATCACAGTTTTCCATGCTTGGAGTTTTGAAGGCAATTATAGTAGGTTTATTACGCATATAACGAAAACTTTGCGCTAAGGATTTATTTTGTGGACTGAGGTAGGCCAAACCTACACTTTGACAACGTGCACGTCTTAAACGTGTTTCATCAAATGATCGTTCAGATTCCGAACGCCCTAAGGCACGTATCCTAAATATTTTTAAAACATAAAAAAAATATGTAATTATAAAAAGCCTTTAGTACCATAATACGTACGCTTTTAGACGTGCTCTTTTCTTAGACTTCACTTCAATATCAGGAAGGGATATACTTTTTTCTAAAGGTGGTTTATAGTTAAGATTTTGTAGTTTCTTATCTGTTAAAATTCGTCGTCGAGTAAGATCTATTGGTTTTCCATAGGTATCATACTCATCTGCAATAAAAGCTTCATTCGAAACTCCTGTTGAACGCCTTGCCTGTGAATCCTTGCGAGAGAAAGTGCGTTGCAATGTGCGTTTAATACTTTGTATACGGTTAATGGGTGCGTTAGAGTTTCCATTACTGTGAGACGCATTAGTGTGACTCTCTGTGGCTAATTTCGATGGTGTAAAATTTTTTCTTGGTGGTCGTATGGGCACATCAACATATGCTGATGACTGTTGTATTTTTGCTAGATTTTGTGCAAGAAAATCAGTTTGTGGTGTTGAGGACATAATTGCATTGGTGTTAGTTTCATTTACTTGACAGAAACTTGTTGCAATTGCCTGCAAATGTGGTACATCTCCCCCTTGATGTAAACGATGTTGCTCTTTTTCAAAATACTGATACAAACGATTGGTCCATTCACCTGCGGTTCGTATATGCAACCACATATAATCTTCTTGTTCAGGTGCAGAGCTTATAGTAAATGGATGCCATTCATAATTAGCAATAGCTGGTATATTCACAAACACATAATCACCAGGACGAAAATTAAAGTTGAAAGGTCTCTTAATGACCAAGTGTATAACTTTCGATGGCAATAATAGACCAGAACTTATGTACGTCTTGCCATGTTCACCTCGCATCCATACATAGCGAAGTATACGTTCAACTATGTAAACAAGGCCAGGCACTAAAAACCACTTCCAAAAGTTTGGTCCATGAAAAAGAGTTAATATCCAAAACGGTATATAGAGAAGATGGGTCCAATAAAATATTTCAAATGAGCCCTTGCGCCGCACGAACGGCTGGGAGCATATGAACATTATTAGCAAAATAACAAATAGAGCTACTCCAGTAGGGTTCGCGCAACCTGGTATTAGACCAAATAAACCCGGCCGATCCGTTAATAACCATTCGATTATTGTATAGTGCCCAGCATTTATTCTTTCATCATTTACTACAATTATTGTAAAATTAAATAAATGCATTAAAGTATGTATCAGGCTTAGAATCGAGATGACTATGCCTGTCAGTTTATGCAGATATATGTGATGATCTAGTGGCAGATATGTTGATAAACCGTGCGAACGTAGATAGGTAAGGGAATGTCGTAACATAAGTACGAGCACCCACGCACAGTTAAAGTTAAGACACTGACCTTTAGTTTGGGAAAGTAAACTTTAGTATGATTTTCTTGTTAAGTAATAAACCCGACTTACCGCAGGCTCTGGCTATAATGACAAATCCATTACTGGCTCGATATTGAATGGCACGTGAGATGAAGAGACATAAGTTGACTGCAATATATACGAAGAGGTACGAAACGAATACTTGGTTATTTTTCATATAAGCGGGTGTGAATTGATACGGTATCCAGAGGCAATCCTTTAGTTTTTTTGATTTCGATTTTGATTTCTTTGCAGAGCTATCTTGAGAGATTGGTACAAGCCAACGATCGATTCTAAAATATTGTAAAAAAATATTAAAAATAATTTTATATAAAGTTTTTGTGAAAAGTTATATAAAATTTTCAAATAACTTTTTTATGTGTTGTAAGGCTTAATACTTAGTAATACTTATTATTAATTAGTTAAAGAGTAAACAGGCAGCAAAGGCACTAAGGCACTGTTTATTGTTCATTTCGTATCTATGTATTTATTTATTTTATTTTTTATTTATAAACTCTGCTATTTATGTAATTCTTATTTTGTTTCTATTACATTATATTTTATTTAATTATTTTTATCTTCATTTTATTTTTATTTTATTTTTATTTTATTTTTCTTTTATTTTTATTTTATTTTATTTTATTTTATTTTATTTTTATTTATTTTATTGTATTTTATTTTATTTTACTTTACTGTATTTTATTTTGTTTCATTTTATTTTATTGAATTTTATTTTATTTTATTTATATTTTATATAATTTATATTTTATTATATTTATATTTATATATTATTTATTTTTATTTATATTTATATTTTGTTGTATTTTATTGTATTTTATTTTATTTTATTTTATTTTATTTTATTTTATTTTGTTTTATTTTATTTCATTTCATTTTTATTTTCTTTTATTGTATTTTATTTTATTTCATTTTATTGTATTTTATTTTATTTTATTTTATTGTATTTTATTTTATTTATATTTTATATTATTTACATTTTATATTTTTTATATTTTATTTATATTTTATATTATTTATATTTTATTATTTTATTTATATTTTATTGTATTTTATTTTATTCTATTTTATTCTATTTCATTTTATTTTATTTTATTTTATTTTATTTTATTTTATTTTATTTTAGTTTACTTTATCGAATTTTATTTTATTTTATTTTATTTTATTTTATTTTATTTTATTTTATTTTATTTTATTTTATTTTATTTTATTTTTTATTTTATTTATTTCATTTTATTTTATTTTATTTTATTTTATTTTATTTTGTTTTGTTTTATTTTATTTTATTTTATTTTATTTTATTTTATTTTATCTTATTATATTTAACATATTGATTGTTTTTTTGTGATCTAATTGGGCAATTTGATTAGTCAATTATGATTTGGGGTAATTGATTAGTTTGGGAGAGTTAACTAACTAGTCTGCTGCAATCACAGCCACCAGCAACAATGTGCCAATTCCGCTTCTCGAACTATATATTTAACTAAGTACGAGTATTATTGCTAAGAATCCATCTTACTAGTTTAAATAATTTAGTTAATATGCAGGTGAATAAAATCGTATTTCAAGTCAAACAGGGATGATATAATACAAATCTACGTGCATGGAAGTACTTTTCAATATTTTTAAATTCTGAAAAAAAATGTATATAATAATATAAATATGTAAATACATGAATGTGCATAATATTTCATGTATATTTTAACTGAAAAAATTTTTTGAAGTAGCGCAATGAAAATACAACAGATATATATGAAGATAAAATAACGTTAATTGAAATCAACCAGGGATGAATAATAAAAATATTAAAGTCTATGTGATTTTATGTAAATTTTTTCACAAAAAAACAATATGTTTTACGCTAAGCTGAGACTGAGACTGTAAAAACACCAATTTATATAAAATCCTGAAAAACAGGGATGGCATAAATTATATGCCAACATAAATGTACTACTTCCAAGACGAAAACCATGAGAAAAATGTTAATTCTAGTTAAGAAATTAATTTTTTATTAGACTTATAAATAAAAAACTTTATTCATTAGCTATTAATAGGTAAAGATACATAAGTCTAATGAATGCTGGTTTTGTAATAACTTATGTGTGAAGGTAGAATCTAAAACTAGCTAACTTTATATGTATATATTATTATAAAATGAAAATTAGGTTTAGGAAACTTATTGAAGATTAGAATAATAAGTTAACTTGACGCATCGATGAAGTAAATACAAATCTCAAAAAAAATTATTTAAATTTAACAACTAGTACGCTATAGTAAACTGCGGATGAAATTAGGAAGCTCTGTATATCAAACATTAAGTGTAAATTCTTCTAATAAAACCACTGCTCAATGAATACCTAGGTGGTCAGTTTCGCAAAAAAGTAATTTTCTTTATTATTAACAAATTACTATAAAAGTCAATTTAATTGTAGTGATATAGTAAATTTACTGAATATAATTGTTCTCTTAAAAAAATCATAAGTATAGATTGTCATTAAGAAAACGAAAGCAGAAGTAATTTAATTCCAGACATAATGATCAATTTTGCAACAATTAGTGCAAGTTTTATATTACAGTATAGGGTTGCTATATAAGGTGAACACATTTAGTTACACTGTAACCTTGATTACGAAGGTGAGAA